CGAAACCACGACAAAAAGCGAATCTTTTTCTTTCCTGTCTGTTTGCATGGGCCTAAAAAGGCTTTGTTTTCTGTTGGTTCAGTTGGCTTGTCTGTCTGAGCCGGTGCGCACTCATTTTCAGAATTCGGATACGAGTCGCGCTGAAAAAATCGTGTGCCAACTATATTCGGATACCTGCACACCCAGCGCGCACGTGGATCAACAACTGAACAAGCCCACCATTGGCCAGCCGCAGACGGAGAGGCCTTTCCCACCCATTTTTCGTTCGCGGCTCGGAATGTTTGTACACCTGTCCACTTCGCACGACACCGTCGGGCCCGGCCGGGCGGCCTCCCCTACCATTCACCATTCTACGTTCGCCGAGCGACGACAACTGAAAAGGAAAAACAAAAAAGAAACACCCACCCTTAAAAAGCAGAAACAAATAAAAAGCGTAACTAATTGGACGCGCGTTGTGGTGCGTCCTCGCGAACACGAACCCCGTCGCGATGGCGACGTGCACCCCAAATTAAAAATAACGGACTTACAGGTGGGGTAAAATCATGACAGTGTGTGTGTGTGTGCTGGTTCCTCGGAACGGTAAAAGTTCACGAGACGTCCTGCGGCCTTTGCCCTGCCACTGTGAGTGCGGTGTGCGGTGCCCAGGGGCCTAAGTGCACCGAAAGCGTCGATAATGACCGGCCGGCCGCCTCGAGCCGCGGACAGTCACGGACAGTCACGGACGCAGAGGTGAGTCACTCACACCCGCCGCGGTGCCTCGTGGCGGCCAGGCGCCGCTGGCCCGATTTTCTGCTGGCTACGCCTCCCCAGCTACCGCAACAACATTTCTGACCTGCTCATTGACACAGACCCCGGAGCCCCCGCCCCATTGTGCGGGTGGAGAGCGACCCTCACAGTCGCGACAAAAGGCCGTCGAATAGTGATGGGCTTTTAACTCTGGCACCAATTCAAAACATTAATTATTAGAAATTTTTAGAAATAGATCGGTGTTTTGAAATGACTCTAAAATTTTATGAACTTTTGTGAAAACGGCGTGTTTCTACGACAATTTTGTCCTGTTGAACCGGTTTATCACACTGGCAAATAATAATGACTCAAACCTCCAATTTTTTTTTAATTGCTCAGATTTTTCTTGTGGTTTCAAATCTGCATTGACTTCATACCAATTCTAGAATCTTGAAGTAATACTAAGAGATTTTAAATTGCTCATTATAAATGCAAGGAGACAAAAGGACTCCAGCCGGGCCCCGACCCGGACCCACCCCCACACCAGGGCGGAGTCAGGTAGTCGACCGTCATCTACCACCGCGCTACTCAGCGGCGCCTTCCATCCTGAATCTTAGTATAGAATCGGCTAGCGCTCGCGTCGCGAAGAAAGGAGACAACAACGGAGCGTTGCGTTTCCTCGTTTCCTCACGCCGCGCCGCGTCCATTTTGAATCGGGCCTCGTCACCAGCACGGCCAGCAGGCTGATCCCGAGAGTCGCTATCGTCGCTCTGTCTCTCTCGCACTCGTGGGGCGTCCCATATGGGTGTGAGAGAGACAGAGCGACGAAAACGAGTGCTGGTAGCCCGGTCCGGCAGGTGCAGCGTCGCCACCATGGTCGCCACCCTCGCGGGACAAACAACGACGTCACGAGTGCGGCCGACGGCCTGGCGACGTCGTCTTCGTCGTCGCCGAGTCGCTGCCGAGGGCCTCGGTCTTCTTGACGGCGAGCAAAAGTCGCCACCGCCCCGACCGCAAACTCTGGCCGGCGTTTCCAGTCGTAAAGACGCGGGAAAGACTGCCGTTTTTTGGCGGGAAAAGTCCGCCACGCGACGCTAGCGGCGGAGGAGTTACCGCGCGCGAGCGCGGCACGGCCCGGCCAGGCTGGCGACAGGGTGTCTGTCGGAGGAATAAAACAGTTTGAGTCGCCATGAAAAATAGAGCAGGCAGACGGGGCGGTCGAGGCGGCCGAGCAACCAGGCCAGGGTGCCGTCGTGCCGACTGTCTGTGGCGTGGCGTGGCGGTGCGCCGCGTGGGGCGGTGGGTGGAGTCGAGTGGAGTGACTCTGCAGGGGTGGCCAGGGAAAGCCAGGCAAAGCAGAGGCAGGCAAAGTCTGCCAAGGGACGTTGGTGCCGCCCCGTCTGGCGGGTGTAGCGAAGCGAGTCTGTCTGCCTGCCTGCCTGCCTGCCTGCCTGTCGTGATGAGTGGCGTGTCTGCCTGCCCGCCTGCCTGCCTGGTTCGCGTGCCGGGGCTTTGGGGGCAGAGTAGGCCGCCGGCCCCGGCTGGATTAAGTGAATTTTACATGTGATGTGACTCCATTCCACCCTTTCCATCGGATCGGACGTCGATGGAGGAGTCCAACTAGGCCAGCATGAGCCCCGCCGGCGCCGCCAGCCGTCTAGGCAGGGCTGTCAGCTCAGGCAACGCCGACGAGGACTAAACAAACAACGCGGATCGGAATCATGGCGCGGGGTGCGCGCCGAGCGCCGAGCCGGCCGGGCCTCCAAATAGGGCAAACAGCCGTCGGAAGTGGCGAACCGAACCGAACCGAACCACACCGAGCCTTTCCATGGCGGCTAGCGTAGCTCGCGTAGCTCGCGTGCCGAAGAGCGGAGAGCCCTGGGAAATGGGGTGGCCGCCTGGCTCGGCCTGGCCGGTGTCAGTCTGTCCGGCAGCGAGGCCGCCGAGTTCGAGAACGTTCCAAACCCCGCACGGCAATAGCCTCAGGTGACCGTCGAGAACCGAACCGTCCCCCCCCCCCAAAAAAAAACTTCTCCTCCGGGAGTGACAGCCCGACCCTGCTTGGATTCCTTGTAAGCTGTCATGGCACTGCCAACGCTGGCCAAATTAGATTAGCACCAACTACATCGGCGCGCCCGACCGGACCTGGCCGACGCCGACGACGGATGGAGTGTTGCAGAGCTGCAGCGTTGCACCACAGCAGGGCTCGCGCGGCCTCCGCAAAACAAACTATGCCCCTGTTCGGATCGCCCCCCCCTCCAAAGCATTGCCCTCTTTAATCCTGCCCTCGATTCTCCCCGTGGCGCCGTGGTGCGCAACACGCAGCGATAGAATGGGGATGCGGCCGACACGCGACGCGGCGGACGCGGCCGATGATTGGGGCTGCAGGCCGGTTCTGTCTCTCTCGCGCTCGGGGGCGTCCCGCAAGTCCCGCAGGGGTGCGAGAGAGAGGCACTGTCGGCGCACCACTGGGACTGGGTAGTGGGTAGGCGCACTGCGATGCCTCGCGCGCCTCGCGCACCTCGCGCACCGCGGTCTCACCATCGTGCGCCATCGCCGCCCTTCCTTATGGCTGCGGCGAAGGCAAGGCAGGCAAAGGGGTGGCGGAGTAGGCGTGGCGCCGCAGCGGGGAACCGCGGGAAACGCGAACCGGAAGTGGGGAACGCCCCGCGCGCCGCGGCGAACGCGCTTCCTCGTCCGGGCCGCCAAGGCCGCGATAGACGGGGCCGCCAAATTAGCCACCGGTGGCGAGCCAACCACGGGGCGAGGGCGGGGCGGGGCGGGGCGACCCCGAATGACCTGGACCTCGTTCCATATCGCGATCTCAACTACCTATCGTGCCGGATTGGCCCTGTTTCATTGACTAAGTCCCCTCCCCCTCCTCCTTTCACTCACTCACTCTCACACACAGGCACACACTCTCTTTTCGGGTCAGGGGTGACTGCCCCCTCAGCAGGCCCCCTGACTGCTCCACCCCCGCGTGGCGCGCGAGCAACAGTCTCCCCTGCCATGCTGCCGGTCAATTTTCATTTCACGTGCAGCAGTAACGACTTGAACAACAACCGACGGCAACGTCCCATTTGCATAAGTGGCAACTTTCACCTCGCGCACCCCTGCGGCCCTGCGGTGTCCCGCCAGCCGCCCGCGCGCACCCGCGCCACGCCGCGCCACGCCGGGCCTAGCACGCGCGTCCAAGTGGATCGCGCTGGACGGACGGGGAGGACACGCCAGTGAACGGCGGGCGGACTTTACGGCGAACTAGGCCAAACGTGACTCCCCCTCCCCTCCCCCTCTCGCCTCCCCCGCGTGGCGCGGCGGGGGTTGCAGGTACACGCCGCCCCCCTTCCCCCTCACAACGAGCTGTAGTGTACTCTCCTTGGGCCAGTTTCCCGCATCAAAGCGTAACATATAATCATTCAATTATACGTCGGTGCCGTGCGTGGGCTCGGCCAGGGCTCCGCCAGAGGTCGCGCTGTCAATCAGCAACCCAAATCTCAAACCATCTGTCGATCAAATCCAGTTTTTGATTACGCCCAGACAGAGCCTGTAGCTTCAGTTTGTGTTCTAGTTTTCTTCTAGCGAGCGTTTATTTTACAGTTTCTTTTTGTTTCATTTATCTTGGCTTTAGTAGAGTATAGTAAAATTGTGCCAGCAAGTTATCATTGATTTATTTATCCAATAACTATCAGGCTTCTCAATTGCAAAGTTCGAAAAGTTAGGACAGGTGAAGCCGAAACGTAGGTATGGACCTGAAGAAAGGCAAGAACCCCCACCCCCGTGCCACCGATAGCAGATAGCACTGAGAAGTCATTGCTCTTGTCCCCGACACTCTCGCTACTCGCGGTGAACGGCAGACCGGAATTCGAGGTCCGCCCTTATCGCCCTCTCTGCGTCTGACGGTCTGACCAACGGATGGAACGACGGAACCAACCCCTCGGCTCGGCAGCCCTCGGTGTTCCTGCGCTCTCTCACTCAGTGGAATGCAGCAGGCTGCGTGATCTTCGGGCGTCAACTTACAACGACCACGTCGGCAGCTACGACAACCTTCTAAACGCACTTCTCTCTTCCTACTACGCTGAAAAGGCAGCGATAAGAAAGTAAACTGGTACCCCGCGCCTCACGCGGACGGGGCCCGGGGCCCGCTCCCTCAAGCATTTGGGCGTAGCCCCTACTGTCCCGCAGCACAGGTGTGCATGCCGGCGGAAATAATCCCTACCTTGCAGGCTGACATCACAAGGAACAATGAAACAGGACAAAGAATGGAGTTACTGTTGTATTGCATAATATATTATAATATTCCTCATTATTTACACATATACAATTAAAATATCCATAGAAACTCTAATGGGCTCTCGACAAAGTATTTTCCATAATTGTATGCACATAGATGAGTGAACACAGCTGTGAGAACGCACTATCACATAATACAAATGTTTATTTCCACTTTATACAATAAATACAAAAAAAAAGCTCTAATGCTTGTCTGTTACGCTCTTCCAAGTAGTGTATTCTGCTCATAACCAAACCAAACAACCAGTCTTCACATTAAAACATGGTAAAATCTGTTAAACCTTCCACACCTCTCACTCTCAGTGTTCATAGCTTTACTTCTCTTTCAATTGATGTCAAACAACTTGAGTTGAAGAAATCAATGGTATACTGGCAGGTAAAGGAACCTTTTCCACCTCTTCTAGTGTTCTCTGAGTGGGATTTGTGGTCACAGGCACCTGCGAAAAACACATTGGTCTGAATAAAACAACACCTTAAAATAGCCAAAGGCAACACGTGAAACAAAACTCTTTCAAAACAAATGGCATGACAAACAGAATGAGAGGTAGTAGCAGGAAGTAGATCGGAAATCAGTCATGCCGATTTATAGAACACAGACACAGAAGTAGAGAGGTGTGATAAATGAATGACTTGCAGTTATTTGACTTTGTATCAGTTTCATAGTGATTATTGTTAATTGGCATGGCTGGTTGGAACCAGATGAAGACCTTCCAACGCACACTATTATTTGTGTATTTATACTACACAAATGAGAAACTTAGTTAATACTGGTTGGTTGGTCAGACATGATCAAAGTGAGTTGCTACTTCTACCATGAAAACCGATAACCATCTCTCTCAGTCACAGCAGAAAGAGTTGCTTTTGGTTAAAAAAAAAAAGAAAAAGAAAACAGTAATAAAGAACAAAAGAGCAGTGTGTTCTATGAAACGGACAAGGACAGGTAGAGATTGAAGAAAACTGAGCGATGGGCAAACAGTGGCTGTAATGCTTTTCTGTAAAATTGATTATAAATTATACACAATCATATGCAGAAATGATAGAGTGAAAGCCTCCCCAAAACATTCTGTTCTGATTTCTCTTCGTCAGTGTTTGGACTAAACTATGGTATAACAAGATGGGAAACTAGGCCAAGAAACTGTCAAGGGAGAGACAAATGATAATATTGACATATACAAAAGAAAATTATAGAAATTCCTTTACTGACTAGATCACTTGGTCACCTCATTAGAAGCTCTATGCACAGTTTCTTAAATTATTATTACAGTGTTAGTTTGCAGTCCTAGCAAAGGGGGGCAAAGGGCCAAAATTTTGTAATACACTACCTCAGCCAGATTCATCATACAAACTTAAGCTTAATGCGGTTCCTAGAAACCATAATGAAAGATGAAGACCATATTCGAGCTGTTAAGGAAAAAACAGAATTGGATGAAGTGAGTTTTTGACCACGCACTTTGAGATATTTAAGAAAGTTTAATGACACACCAGCATTTACCGTAACAATATCTTGTTATGCTTTTAAAATGAAAAATGTCAATTCTGAGGGGAAAAGTGGTCCAAAATAAGAAGTATGTGGTTTGCCATCATTGACATTTTATTCAAAATTATAAGGTAACACTTTCAAATATTTCTTTAAATTAAGAAAGGTGTCTGAAGGACTAAACAGACACATGCAAAGATTATATTCTGCGCTTTAAGACAAGCTGGTCAATGATCAAAGAATGAAACAACACCTAACATTCCATTTCCAAACATAACTCTTCCTGGCCTACGTTGACAACTTTTGACTGCAAGACATGGAACATTTTGAACAGGAATTGGGATAATGTTAAGAAAAACTAGTAGCAATAATGAAACAACAAAATTAGTTTAAAACAACAACAACAATTTATAAATGCAGACAAGAAACTTTCTCTGAAGAAAAGTTCCAATTGAACTAGTTAATTTTAACAATTCAAAATTTCTAACAGAAATATTGGATTCAAAAGTACAAGAAGTTTCATATTCAGCCATGGACAGACACAAAAGAATGTTAATACTGAAAAATACAGTAAACATGTTTAGAACAAATCCTTTCTTCTTCTTTTTTCTGGTGGTATGTATGTAACAATCAACAACAATGGATGAAAATGATTATGATCAATGATGGTATTTACCACACAAGGCTATGGAATGCTTGACTGAAATAAGGACAAGATGAAGTCTGGCTGAGAGAAAAACTACTAAAATTTAAAAGAAACTAATAATAAATAAAGATTTCTGCAGCTTCTCTTCAAATTACAAGAATTATGCACAGTAGTGGATTGGTCAAGCCAAATAGCCTCCAGGTATTCACGTAACAGATAGATAATAATTTTTTGGCATGAGTTAAGAAATGGTTCACTATACTCCCTGTCAATATGACGACTTTAACACCAAGAGATTATGATGATCTCTTGTCAACACTTTACAGGAACTTTTCAACATAATTCCTACTGTATTCAACAATCTACTATATCTAACTCCAAATGATCACTCATAAGAAAAAGAAAAGAAGAGAACACACTGAAATTGAACATCCATCTCACGATCATAGTATAGTGCTAAGATCAGGATGTTACTAATAAAAAACAAATGGAAACAAATGTCACAATGTAATGTTCAGTTCAAAGGGGTACATCTCTCTTACTGTCCAAACAATCTGTCCAGTTCAAGTTAGAAAACCCTTAAATTTTTCACCAACATTTTTATTTTATATTTTCAGTATCAAAATGCTCTCCTTAAGAAAGTAACAAAATGTCAAGGACGGGTTAACTTGAAAATAATATACTAAAGCTAACATGACCTCTGACAATACCAATAATTTTCTATTCAGTGCTTGTGACTCCATTAGACAAAAAATTGCTTTGGGGCACCTCCATACTAAGCAAGAATTTCCTATGAATACGATGACATAAGAAAAACTACCTTACCAAAACCTCCAATGAATTCACACAAGGCATATACATTCATTGATTTACCCTTTGTTACTGGAGTCTTAAAACTCTTTCTCATTAAGTTTTACCACAGAGTGATTCAAGGCACACAGAAAACTCAGAAATGCAAGGAGGCAAGACACAGTCCCAAACAGAAAAGAGATTAAAATAAAGGTTCAGGTACCAAGTATACTATCACTTAGAGTTATTCACCTTTCCTGGTTCTTCATGGCCTTGATATTTTGGCTTCCCATGAGTGAATGGTAGATACCGGTACTTGATCATGTGCTGTAACAAAGAAGATTTTCCTTAGCTACCACATAAGCGGCACAAAAAAAATCCTCATCACTTGGAATGTCAAAATAGGAATGTAAAATCACTTGAACTCACCTTGATTTGCCTCTTCATGGTAATTCCAAACAAGGTGAAGAAATACATCACAAGAATTGGCCAGAAGACAGGAACATTGAAAACTTCAAAAAATGTACAAAATACTGCAATCAATGTTGATTTAGTGACCGAGTACCAAAATTTAAATTCTGGTAAGCGCCGAATGAAGGGGCGGAACTCTTCATTAGCCCGGGTTGGCAACTCTGGACCAGCATCATCTGAAAAAAAATAGCAATGTAATACATTACAGTGCATTATATAGCTGTGAATGGGTTGTCATTGTAACTAACTATACATCCATACCATCAAACTCCAGAGCGGGATCTATTCTTGGTGTGATGAATCCAACAAACAGATTAAGGTAATAGATTCCCAATGCATACGTCACAATATACCAGCCCTAAAAATATATTTTTAAGAAAAGGAGAGAAAGATCATATTACCAACTTATAATAGACACACATCCAAACATTTTTTTATTCTTCTAAAATACAGACCTGCATTATAAGCACTCTGCCCAGGAAGAAGAACAGCAAAAAAATTGCAAATGCCCATCGTCCAATGGTATGTGGAGTAGAATCATCCAGTAATTTTTGATATCTCTAAAAGGAAGAATGGGACATAGATAAAGGCAAATGGTTTAACCCTGTTTTTCAAAAGTTTTGTCAAGTGGAAATGACAGTTTTCAAAACATGTACAGACCTGCTGTAACCTTCTGAATATAATAGTTGATTTCCTTTCAGACTGTGCTGCTCCACTATCTATGTCGTCCATCATTTTACAAAATTTCTATTCGGGACCACTTTGACAAGAAAGAAAAATCTGAAATACAGAGAAAACAATGATGTAATAATTTAAATTACAATTAGTCAATATCGCAACAAGTGCATCACTCAGTGGCGTTCAACCAGAGAAGCGTTCGAAACAGAGAAGAGAATTGAACACAAAATACTTCATTCCAGACACACAGACATTTCAAAAAGAAAGTAGAAAGGAACATGTCGAGAGGATTGAAAAAAGAATCCTGACTCACACAAACAAAAAATTCAGAAAATGAGGAAGTAACAGAGGAAGAAACTGAATATATGAGGTTGAAAATAAAATGTTTACAACTCTTTGATGGGCGAGGTAAAATGATTAGATAAATAGAGCAGTACTAAATTTGATACCCTTACTGTGGCAAGAGACAATGTTGAAAGAAACAAACTCAAATTTTAGAACTGATAGAGAAAACCTGTCAGTTTTTGGGAATGAACTTATAGTTTTAAGTTCAGTGTTTCCGTCTAATTCTCCCAAAACTAGCACAAAATAACAAAATAGAATCCTAACCAAGAATACTAGTAATGACTGTCACGGGTTGTTCAACAAGTCAAGCAAATTAATTCTCGGACACGGATACAATGCGTCTGGGCCTTAACTAATTACCTCAGTAATTAAGCTCCTGTATAATTTGGTGAAATGACTAAAAGTTGTCTGAAATCATGACTGAATGAATTATTTCACATCCACGTCAATCGGATCGGATTTCTGCACTGGAAAATGAATGCCAACACTACTCCAACACTTTCAGAGGGCTGTGTATGGTATAGCCAACTAACGATTGAAGCTTAACTTACTCATAGAGGTCAAGACTTTGTAAAAACAGTATTTTTTCAAAATAAATTAACATATTGAGCTACAGTTAAAAAGTCTACACAGCTCTCAAATAAATGGTCAAAGATTCATTCCAAAGCGGTATTCACTATCATATTTGCAATGTTGTCTACTGTCTCATGCCTGTCAAGTTAAGAGTCCGATGCATTCCTCCATTATGAGTGTCGGAAACGTCGCGCTCTATCAAACATACTCTTCACAACGAAAAAAAATACTTTCAATAATATTCCTTGAATTTCACGTCATTAACTCACAGCTCATGGCATTTTCGTCAAATTTGAGACAGTGGCGCCGGCGGTGAATACTTATGTCTAACTTGAGCCCCCCTCCCCCCCCCTCCGCCGTCTGCTGTTATGTACTGTGTCAGTGTCAACTGGAGAACCTGAGCCTGAGACTTCATGTTAATCTCGCACTGACATCGGGCTGTGAGAATTTAGTTCATTATAACATCAATGTACAACGGAATACTGCCCTTCGGCGAGATACCAGTTAGAACCTGAAGAAGAACAGGAAAAAATGGGACATCAACTCTACAACATTCCTGTCATCTCCTTGAACCTTCGCCAGGAAGAAACTGTTCATCAGATTGCTGATGCTCTAGATTATTTAAGTGATGTTGTCAATGATGTTTTTGGTAGGATTGATAGTCGCATTGCAGAGAACAGAAACAAGCTACAGCAGCTCAGCCGAAGAACTTCCGTTGCTAAGGCGAAAATTGAGAAACTAACAGGAAGTAACAAAGCGACCAAGGTCTTTTCCAGTGCAAAATACCCAGCTAGTGATGCTCGCAAAGATTACCAATCAACCTTCAACCCACCAGCCACCACACAGTTCAGGCACCATGACAATATAATTAAAAGCAAGCAGGAGCCTGTGGATGGCAAGGTACCTCAAGAAAAATTGCAGTTTTATCATGTTAAAGTGGGTTCGAAGGTTCGCCGTAACTTGGAGGTTGCTGTTGAGGAAGGACTGGGTAGTCTTCCCCCTGATATAGATTCAGTTTCTTCTCTTTTGTTGTTCAATACATCTGAAAACCCCTACAAACGTTATGTGCTACTGGATCCGCTTGGAGCTGTCACCAAAACGCGCCAGTCTTTGGAGGAAGAAGGGGACAGTGCCATGGATGATGCTCCGATGTCCATTGCTCATCAAGAGCACCTGGAGGCAAGGTCTGGGGAAAACTTTTTCTATTCCCCTGGAATGGGAGATGTACCTGACATTGATGTTCCACTTGACCTTCCTGACCTCCCTGGCATCGCTGATGACCTTCGTTACAATATGGACTTTGGGCTGTCTATTGCACCATCAGTCACTACGACACCTGCTATTCCAGAATTGCCAAGTCTAGTCCCTGAAAGCCCTACAACTCCTTCGAGTTCTGGCTTGTTCTCAGGAGAAGCAGCTCCACATCTAAGTCATTCATCGATAACAGAGTCTGCACCTGCAGCAAGCGCTCCACCTCCTCCACCTCCCACAAGTGCACCTCCTTTACCTCCTCATATGCCGCCGCCACCGCCACCGCCTCCTCCACCTCCACCTCCACCCCCACCCCCACCCCCACCCCCAACCACTGAACCCTCAAGTGCACCACCAGCTGAAGAATCAGCAGTTTGCAAACAAGTCCCAGCTCCAGCAATGGACTCTCGAGCAACGCTTATGGACGCAATCCGTAAGGCTGGCGGAAAGACCAAGCGGTCGGTGGAAGACAGAAAAGTGGAAGCCAAGAAGAAAAAGCAAGAAGAGAAAGCTCAGGGTGGTGGTGACCTCATGGCTGATCTTCATTTGAAGCTGGCATTGCGGAGAAAAGGCATATCTGGTGCCAACAAATTGCCAGAAGGGTCAGCAATGGACAAAATCTCATCAATGATACCTCCACCTCCAATCAAGGAAAGTGCAACATCTACTTCTGCTACTGAAGAGGAGGATGATTGGGATTAATGAGACAGTTTTTGCAAGAATTGTGTGTTTGGTGCTTTCTTTTGCATTCCATAGGCCAATAGGATTCTGTCCTCTGTAATTATTGAGACTTATTTCTTGTTTGTAACTTAATATTCCATATATCATTGGTGTTTTCATCTACATGCAATCAGTGGATGTTGTTCTTTGATTTTAAAAAAGTACTCGGTAATTAGATTAATCACTGTTTATTGTACAAATATAAGCTTATATTTTTTTAAAGAGAAAAATAAAGTGATATAGATGAAATACATTTGTTTTTTTCAGTTCTTTCAAAAAATAATCCTACTTAAGTAGTGAACTACCTAGTATAATACTTAGATAAAAACTTGTTCACAACAGGAGCTACAGCTTCTACATTTTCTAAATGAAGGTGATGCTTTCCTGGCAAATATACAAGTTCAGCATTTTTAGCAGCTTTAGTAACATTCTCCCACGATTGATCAAAAAATTCCTTTGTAGAAAAATAAGGTGAGCCCTCTGCTTTGATACATAAAATATTAGTCTTCAGTTCAAGACAGTATTTAAGTATGTCGTCCGCTGACCATCCTGAAGTTGAATTGCCTTTCAATCTGGTATCTCGCGTTAATCGGTATTTACCTTCTTCAGTTTTTACACTTCCCCTGTCCATCAAAATTTTTGCTCCTTCTACAGTATCTGGTGAAATTGGAGATTTAAGAACCATTTTCACAAGATCTTCATATGGATGCGATGGAGCAGTTGCCTCAGTTTGAAGATCTCTTCTGATAAACTCATCAATTGTCTTACCACCATGCTTTATGTACTTCTGAGGATTCAAAGGAATAGGAGCTAAAATGTCAATCGTAATCAAGCTGTCCACTTCCCCTGGATAGATAGCTGCATACATGAAACAGGTCTGGCCGCCTAGGGAATGGCCCATTAATGTAACACTTTTCCATCCAAAGTGCTCCACTATTCGTCGCAAGGTCATAACAGCTGACATGCGGTGGTAAGGAAATCCATGAGGAAAATGTGAAGAATGGCCATGCCCAGGTAGATCGATTGCAAGAACTGATGCCTTGGGCGAAATCGAAGGTACTAAGCGATCAAACGAATTGGCATTATCCTGCCAGCCATGAAGAGCAATGATAGGCTTCCCTTCATCTTTGTTCCACCACTTTCCTGCAAAACATAATAACGAACAGTAATTTCAAAATATTAAACAGGCAGTGACAATTCGAAATAAGAAAATGATGCAACATTTACCTGCCACATGTCCCCAGGGTACAGGTACTTTCACCTCGGTGTGGACTCGCCTGAAAGATGCCACTACAGGTAACTGCACACTCGCAGAGGAGAAGAGACTTTTGGCGGTGCGATACATCTGCGTTTATGAAGAAAACAACAAAGGCCATCCATCAGCTTCAACTACACTGACTCCACTAACGCACCAACGCACTGTGCCCTGGGCACCTTGTGCACCGCATCGAACCACGTTGCGCACCTTGTACCTCGCTGATAAGGATATTTACTTCTTATTAAAAAGTTTCATTGTCATCTTATCTCTCCGGATCTAATTTTGAATAAAGTCCTCGGAAGTTCGTCTGCTTCCCTTCGTCTGCTGGTCGTATAATTCGCAGTAAAGTTTCTACCTGCGAATAAGGAATTTGCCATTCATTCAATTCATTCATTCATTCATTCAACTGAACACAAACAAAAACAGTGTGAACATTCCTAAGTCACACTTCTGAGAAATATACTGAGTGTTTGGTTGTAAAAACGTACCAAACCTTTCAGTGGTCGGTTGTTACGTAATAAAATGTCTTCAGACGAGGATGACTACATGTCAGCTGCCTTCATTGTTGACAGGTGTGTATAGGTTAAACATTTGGTCCTTGGTTTCCATTGGTTTCTCTCCTCCAAACATCGAATACGAATTTTTTCTGGTTGTAGCCCAGCTCAAGATGTACGACCCGGTCTCCTACACAACCGTAATCAGCAACGCTCTCATGATAACTACAAGAAAAAGCAAGTTCAGGATGCTGAGTCGAGAGAGAAACAGCAGCCAGTCAGAGTGATCGAAGCACAGCGAAGAGAGCAAGGATTACAAGAAGCCTTAGGAGCTAGCAATAAAGGTTTTGCTTTGCTCCAGAAAATGGGGTACACACCAGGCACAGCTATTGGAAAGTCGGGTACGTCAAGTTAAGCACAAATTCCCTTCGCTGTGCACACCTTTGTTCATGGTTTTTTTTCTGATTTGTTTTAGGCACAGGAAATGTAGATCCTATTCCTTTGCAACTTAAAACTGATCGGCAAGGACTTGGTCGAGCTGCTGCCATTGAGGAACTTAAAGAGGCCAAACGCCTATTCAGAGCCAAGAAACAGAAATCAGCAAAAGGAGCAGAAGTCAGTATAGAGCAGTTTCGCGCTCGGATGAAGCAAAAATCTGATCAAAGATTGGTGGAGATCGATCTTTTCAAAAGCCAGAAATCTTGTCATCAACTTGACACAAATGAGGTAAATTTGTGTGTTGCAGCTTATATCATTTTGCATGAATATCTAAATGAAAAAAAAAATAATCTAAAAAGTGTTTGCTGTCTCCAATAATGTCTTTTGCATTACCTTTGTTCCCTAGGGTCTGAGTAAACCTGATGAATGTTGGTTTTGGCCAAAAATTAAAACTTCTAAAAGGAAAAAGGTTGACTGTGAAGGGTCTGAGGAGGAGAATTCTTCTGAACAAGGCACTTCACTACGAGGTGATTCCAAAGAAGAGGAAGAGGAGGAACAGGACGAGGATGGAGAAGAAGAGGAAGAGGATGACGAGTTTGAGGTAAGTGTTTTTAAAAAAAATATAATAGAAAATAATGGAATGTGAAAAATTGTATATATGTATTGTGTGTATTTTTGCAGGCATCTGAAAAGCTAGAAATGCTCACAAAGTACTTAAGAAGATCATATAATTATTGTGTATGGTGCTGCTTGAAATTTGATGATGAGAAAGACATGCAAAATGAGTGTCCAGGCCCAACACGGGATGATCATTAGTATTTTAAGTATTATCTTTCTCTCTAGAGATATTGTTCCAACAATATCATCTTTCGTACCTGAAGTTATTTATTTGTCAGAAATAAAAAATAGAACCAGTTGGAGTTTCTTTTATTCTGTTATTTACAAAACCCAAATTACCGACATATATTACTAATTTTCATCAAATAAGAACATCTCAACTGACTGACCGTAATCTGCTGATAATGTTGAACTAAGTTGATTGCGAGGAACCCATTTGAAATCTTTTAAAGCAGTACTTGATTTAACATCACCACCAGTTAAATATGCTTTATAAAAGAACACCTTGTCACCCTCCACACCCATCTTTTCTCTAATAGCTTTAGGATATTTAAACTTATAGTAGCCACATGGTGCATTACCATAAAATTGAGCTTTTAAGTTTGCTCCACAGCTTTCTCTCAGAACTCTTTCAGCTGCCTGTCGCATAGTCTCCCCTTCCAAACGACTACCATAGGGCAAAACCCAACGGTTACCACTGTCCTCACTTTGAACAACAAAAATTAATGTACTATCCAGGAGGCGATGCCATGATTTGACATTATTCTTCTTGTCTGCTTCTGTGACACGCGGTTGCAGCGAAAAATTTGAGAGTTCTGCTTTCCATTCATCTTCCCAATCTCTGCGAAGCTTGAGTCCAACTTTCAAAGTTCCATCAGAAGCCTTGGCATTCTTAGACTCTTTAATCTGTTGCAAATGTTTCAAATCCTTCTCAATCTCCAGCTCCCAATCACACTTCCAGGATGTTTCTTTTTCAACTTGAAATAGTAAGTTTTGCACCTGCTTCTCGATGTCTTTCATCTCTTTGTTAATAATGGGTTTCCGTTGCAGACAGACTGAAGAAACAAGGTTCCACTTGCCCCCTTTGGAAGAGGCAGTTGTGCTGTGAGTGCGACCAGGTATGCCCAGTACCTTGGATGAGAGATGACGAAACATTCTTGATCTGTCAGGAGAGATAAACTTGGAAATGTGACAATGTTGTTTATAAGATGAGCCGTGGGCCGTGAAGACTGCAGACGATGTTTGGACTTGAATATTTGAAGCAGGACGAGCGATGTGATTTTTCACGACAGATGATTCTTGATCAGCGAGTACGACTCATCGCGTGCACCTACGCGGAAATAAAGCAAGTTTTAGTAACTTTTACGATTCCAGTACAAAAACGCAGATGAAATTTAACTGGCCCTAACCTAATGACTCCTGTGGTTGGTTGGTTCCCTTGGTTCCCCTCCTGCGCCCCTCCCCTCTCTCCCCTTCCCCGCCTTTCACAGTGCGCTCGCTGCCCAAGAAAAAAGTCACTACTTGAATCCTTCCATACAAACAAAGAAAACTGACATTTTCTTTTGCTGCCTCATTAATCAATAACTTTACTATCATGGATGCCATCAACTGAAGACTAAACTAGAACGAAACGTGCAAATATCATGATCAAGACGAATCGAGTCAAATGGCGCGCGCTACACAGCTGATTTAGCAGAAAAAAAAGTTCCAACCGAAACAGTAGTAATAAGACGCTTTTTATTGCAAAAACTTCATTGTGAAACAATTAATTAGGAATTTTTAAGGTGAAGGCAGAAGTAAGAGGGATTAGAATAGACAAAACGGACGTGAAATGACTTTAGAAAAGTAGTCTTTCTCTGTTTCAAGGTTGGACAACTTTTTTTGGCCCTCTTCTGTCTTCGTGTTTAGGTGATGGTGGTGGCGGATTTGAACCTGATCACTGATCATATGGTTCGAGTTTGATTGCGAGGTTTTAGATCATAGTGTTCATTGCTCTGACGTAGGTAACGACTGAGAAAGTTGAGACACATATTGGTAAGTGTAAAATACGTTCCATGTATAATTTGAGTCGAGCATGTTGAGAAGTGTTTGAAACTACGTTTAACGATAACCTTAATCTTTGAAAATAAAAGTTTGGATATTTGACAATCGCGAGTTTTAACTCTTCGTCTTATATTCCAGGTATATCTTATCGACTGGTTTATCATCTTGTAAAATGGCTGAACCCCTTGACCAAGAAAATGTTTGCCAAAACACGAATCATGTGTATGCCATTAACAGTGGAGTGTTGTCATTCCACCTAGCCCTGTTACCCAAATTGAGAACACTGACTCATATGGATTTATCAAATTGTAAAATATCTACATTACCAGAGGCACTGAGTGATTTAGTTGCCCTGCAATGCTTACAAGCATCAAACAATCTGTTGACTTGCTTGCCCTCATCCATTGGCCAGCTGAAAAGTTTGTCCCGACTTGTCTTGCCTCAAAACTTGCTGACAACTTTGCCTGATTCCTTCGCTGAACTCCGATCATTGGAGTTTTTAAACTTATCGCACAATCAACTGCAAGCAGTTCCAACTTGCTTCCAGGTACCGTATCACAGAGGCAGGTTTTAATTTTCCCCTATGAAAGGATACTTATACCTTTTATTGGTTGCAGGAAGGTGTTGTCAGAATCTCTTATCTTGATGTGTCTCACAACCACATAGAAGACTGGAGCCTTGCGCCCATGTGTGGACATGCACTGAAAGTTTTGAATTGTTCCAACAATTGTCTTAAAGCAAATCCAGCTTGGCTTTGGAGTGACTTTTGCCACTCTTTAGAAGAACTAGACCTCAGTTTCAATCTGTTTTCCAATGCATCCCAAGTGGTGAAAACTTACAACTTGTGGCGGACTGGCGTAACTGTCAGATTGAAGAACCTCAGGTTATATCAGTGTGGCCTCTCTACGCCCCACATTAATCTGCTTCATCAGCTGAAAGTATTAGAAAGACTTGACATAGGAAATACCAAAGATGACAAGACTGTGGACATCAAGAGAAATAAGCGCTCTCTAAACAATTTTATTTGGGAAATTTCGTTCAAACCATTTCAATGCACTGGTGTGCTTACTGAGTTGATTTTATGTGGACTTGGTTTGTCTACATTACCAGATGACATCAATTGCCTAGAAGTTTTGGAGATCCTTAATTGTGATGGGAATAGACTTCAGTGGCTTCCTGATACATTTTGTGAATTATCTAAGTTAAGAGTTGCTGTGCTCTCAAATAATTCATTACTCTACTTACCTGATGAATTTGGAAATCTGTCTAATTTAGTAGAATTGCTGTTGGATAGTAATCAGGCAAGTCATAAGAATTTTCCTGAATATATTTGATTACTGCTTAAAGTTTGCTTTAACTCATTCAATATAATGTGTTTTTTCCTTTTTTTTTCCAAATCACTAACAAATTTTTTTGATGCAGATAGGAGAGCTGCCATCTTCCTGTTCCAAACTCCACAGTTTAAAATGGTTGGATCTGTACAAAAATAACTTAGAAGCTCTGCCATCTTTTCTTGAGGAGGGTCTCGGCAATCTTTCAGGGGTGGACTTGGAACTCAATTATTTCAATCCAAAGTCCTCTGTAAGTACTGTAAATATTAGCATCTTAAAAAACAATGTGTTGTTGGTTGGAAAGTTAATAACTCTTATCAATTTTTTACAGTTGAATTATTCTTCAAAGTTGTACACATCTTTAAAAGATGCAATGCACATTAAAGTGCAAGTAGGTGCTAAGAATGGACTGATTCGACGCAGTGGTCTCCAGAAACCTGACACACACAGTGATTATTCCAGTGATTCTCGTATGTTTGGCTCTTTTCTATATCCCATTATAAATTTTGTAATTTTCCTTGAATTAATGTTTAAATAATTGTCACACAGAAGCAGATAGACTTTGGCTTAGCGACAATGAGTCAACAGTATCTGACAATGACACAGAAGATCTTGTGTAAGTACAAAGCCTATGTAATAAAAGTTATTCTCTGTCAAACAAAAACTTCATAGACTCTTTAATGAAAAAGATTTTGTTTAACTCTGTTTCTTACAATTTTTTCAGAGAAAGTTCTTACAATTCTCTCAAAGAAAGTACTTTTAGTACTGATGTTTCCCGTGACGATGATGAAGATTGGGATTTGGATGAAGGACAGGATGATTATTTTGATCCAACAGGTATGTAAAATTTTCTGCAGCACTTTTCTGCTGAAGTTATGTTTTTCCATATGATTTTTCTCATTGTACATTAACTTTTTCTCTAGTCAAACAAACAAGAACTCATCTGACGATGCCAGCCAGAGCTTTAATCATACACGAAGTGGTTCTTCATTCTGGTTCTTTTTTACCTTCCGACATTCATCCATCTCCTTCAATCCGAGCCGACAAGAATCCCTTTGTTCCTGATGATGGGCAGTTTGAAGATGCTTGAATTAAAATCCTATTTTATACTCTTTGGAAATCCTCATTGAAGAACAATTTCAGATTTGTTTTCTCTTTAAACCATTTAAATTTTTCAGAAAATTTGATCCATTTGTATTAAGTTTGTGAGGGGTAATGGAGTGTTGGCGCAACAGCCGCTAATTTTGCTGTTTCAGAAAATTTGGGATCAAGATCTTATATTTTAGGTACAATGTGCGAAAACAGTATTATTATTTTACTGAACTACATGTCAAATCTGTTTTGTGTTTTTTTTATACTTGTACAGTTGTTGTTTATAAAACAGACATCTGTTCTGTTGAGTTTTGTTATAGGTGTGCTTGTAGAGAGTGATATTTTCATGAAATAAGTCTGTTTAATTGACGCATGTGTATGTGATATGGACTGTTTGTGGTGTTTGAATGAGGTTTGAAGACTCTCTTTGTTATCTTCAATAAGGAAAATTTTATAAATATAATTTAATAATTTTTTGATTGAAAGAAACTTTAATTTTGCCTGTGGGCAACAATTTATCAAATCATGTTTGATTTTACTTTTACTAAGAATTTCTAAATGGATGTCAATATGTGGGTATGATATGTTCTCACTGTTGTTATAATAAACTTTGATTCTGATTCCTTAATTATACATGTCTAGAGTGCCCCATTATTCCATGTCGCTTCCCTCAAACACCTCGATCTCAGAGACGCCTAAGGCGCGTCGAGGTATTTCTCTTCAGCCCCGAAATAAAAGTTGTCCAACACGGGAGGGTGGTGCTAGAACGCGTCGAGTCTGAACGCTATTTCAGTCCGAGTCATTTTCCGCCCTCTGGTCCGGTCCCACCCGGTCCCACCCCGCCTCTGCGTCCCCTGTGACTTTGTGACGTGCGCGTGGCCACGCGTGACGCCGTCCGTGACTTGGTGTTCCCGGGCGCACCCCGCCCCGCCCCGCCAGGCAGCCAAGGCCGCCTCGGCCGCTTCGCACGCCGTCCGTGACGCGGCACGCGTAGGCACGCGGAGCTTCTTTCATTTCTCTAAAACGGCCACCAGGTGCGCGGCGAGGCGACGTGAAGCCTTACCGCCCCTCCCCCACCCCTCGCTTCTCGGCGCCGAGCGGTGCGGAGGCTCTCCCACCAAACGGCACCTGTTGAGAAACACACAGTGCGAAGAAGACAACCCGCCTCAAACTGAACCTGCGGCCCGCGGCAGAGAGAAGCTCCAGACAAAAAAAACCACTTGGTCGGCGACATCCTAGGAGCGGGCGCTTGTGGTGTTTTATCGGTTCCTTGTATGTATACGAACTGCCGAAAAGACACTTGGACGAAATCCGACACCCCCTGTGGCTTTGGTACGGGTCTAAACACCCCAAAAACAGCTGTTTTCGAGGGTTTGGGACTAGATGGGTTCTCGCAAACCGAGATCCAAAAAAGTACCCAAATGGGTCTCAGATACTCAAAAAAATGCGCTCTTTCGAATGCCGTGTCGAACGAGGCTCTACGACGTCGGGTTTGGATGCTACGGGCTCTCAAAGTTGCTCAATTTCACTATTTTTACTGAAGATTTAAACATATCAGGGCCGTTTGAAGTAGAACATCGGCGATTTCGCTCCTCTTTGTCTTAAATGGTGCCAACCTATAGGTTAACACCCCCACAAAATTTCAGCCATGTCAGGCAATTATTAGAGGAACTGTGAACAATTTAAGTTTTGGGTCATTTTACCACTGGGCTTAGGTAGTTTTGGGTCCAGAAAAAATAATTTTTTTAGCTATCTACTTTTGATCAGCACCTCTTGAAACGCCTTTTTAACATGGTGCCTCAAAACTTTTTTTCAAGGACAAACTTGTCTTTTTCTAGCTGTAATTGGAACATTACTTTGAGATACGGCTTTTGGTCTGCCTCATACGGTTTTTGGTTTGCCGCATACGGTTTTTTGTTTGCCCTATACGGCTTTTGGTCTGCCTCATACGGTTTTTGGTTTGCCGCATACGGTTTTTTGTTTGCCCTATACGGCTTTTGGTCTGCCTCATACGGTTTTTGGTTTGCCGCATACGGTTTTTTGTTTGCCCTATACGGCTTTTGGTCTGCCTCATACGGTTTTTGATTTGCCGCATACGGTTTTTTGTTTGCCCTATACGGCTTTTGGTCTGCCTCATACGGTTTTTGATTTGCCGCATACGGTTTTTTGTTTGCCCTATACGGCTTTTGGTCTGCCTCATACGGTTTTTGATTTGCCGCATACGGTTTTTTGTTTGCCCTATACGGCTTTTGGTCTGCCTCATACGGTTTTTGATTTGCCGCATACGGTTTTTTGTTTGCCCTATACGGCTTTTGGTCTGCCTCATACGGTTTTTGATTTGCCGCATACGGTTTTTTGTTTGCCCTATACGGCTTTTGGTCTGCCTCATACGGTTTTTGATTTGCCGCATACGGTTTTTTGTTTGCCCTATACGGCTTTTGGTCTGCCTCATACGGTTTTTGAATTGCCGCATACGGTTTTTTGTTTGCCCTATACGGCTTTTGGTCTGCCTCATACGGTTTTTGATTTGCCGCATACGGTTTTTTGTTTGCCCTATACGGCTTTTGGTCTGCCTCATACGGTTTTTGATTTGCCGCATACGGTTTTTTGTTTGCCCTATACGGCTTTTGGTCTGCCTCATACGGTTTTTGATTTGCCGCATACGGTTTTTTGTTTGCCCTATACGGCTTTTGGTCTGCCTCATACGGTTTTTGGTTTGCCGCATACGGTTTTTTGTTTGCCCTATACGGCTTTTGGTCTGCCTCATACGGTTTTTGGTTTGCCGCATACGGTTTTTTGTTTGCCCTATACGGCTTTTGGTCTGCCTCATACGGTTTTTGATTTGCCGCATACGGTTTTTTGTTTGCCCTATACGGCTTTTGGTCTGCCTCATACGGTTTTTGATTTGCCGCATACGGTTTTTTGTTTGCCCTATACGGCTTTTGGTCTGCCTCATACGGTTTTTGATTTGCCGCATACGGTTTTTTGTTTGCCCTATACGGCTTTTGGTCTGCCTCATACGGTTTTTGGTTTGCCGCATACGGTTTTTTGTTTGCCCTATACGGCTTTTGGTCTGCCTCATACGGTTTTTGATTTGCCGCATACGGTTTTTTGTTTGCCCTATACGGCTTTTGGTCTGCCTCATACGGTTTTTTAATTGCCGCATACGGTTTTTTGTTTGCCCTATACGGCTTTTGGTCTGCCTCATACGGTTTTTGATTTGCCGCATACGGTTTTTTGTTTGCCCTATACGGCTTTTGGTCTGCCTCATACGGTTTTTGATTTGCCGCATACGGTTTTTTGTTTGCCCTATACGGCTTTTGGTCTGCCTCATACGGTTTTTGATTTGCCGCATACGGTTTTTTGTTTGCCCTATACGGCTTTTGGTCTGCCTCATACGGTTTTTGATTTGCCGCATACGGTTTTTTGTTTGCCCTATACGGCTTTTTGGGCTGCCTCATACGGTTTTTGATTTGCCGCATACGGTTTTTTGTTTGCCCTATACGGCTTTTGGTCTGCCTCATACGGTTTTTGATTTGCCGCATACGGTTTTTTGTTTGCCCTATACGGCTTTTGGTCTGCCTCATACGGTTTTTGATTTGCCGCATACGGTTTTTTGTTTGCCCTATACGGCTTTTGGTCTGCCTCATACGGTTTTTGATTTGCCGCATACGGTTTTTTGTTTGCCCTATACGGCTTTTGGTCTGCCTCATACGGTTTTTGATTTGCCGCATACGGTTTTTTGTTTGCCCTATACGGCTTTTGGTCTGCCTCATAAAAACCGTATGCGGCAAATCAAAAACCGTATGAGGCAGCCCTAAAAGCCGTATAGGGCAAACAAAACCGTATGCGGCAAATCAAAACCGTATGAGGCAGCCCAAAGCCGTATAGGGCAAACAAAACCGTATGCGGCAAATCAAAACCGTTGAGGCAGACCAAAAGCCGTATAGGGCAAACAAAAACCGTATGCGGCAAATCAAAAACCGTATGAGGCAGACCAAAAGCCGTATAGGCAAACAAAAACCGTATGCGGCAAATCAAAAACCGTATGAGGCAGACCAAAACCGTATAGGGCCAAACAAAAAACCGTATGCGGCAAATCAAAAACCGTATGAGGCAGACCAAAAGCCGTATAGGGCAAACAAAAACCGTATGCGGCAATTCAAAAACCGTATGAGGCAGACCAAAAGCCGTATAGGGCAAACAAAAAACCGTATGCGGCAAATCAAAAACCGTATGAGGCAGACCAAAAGCCGTATAGGGCAAACAAAAAACCGTATGCGGCAAACCAAAACCGTATGAGGCAGACCAAAAGCCGTATAGGGCAAACAAAAAACCGTATGCGGCAAATCAAAAACCGTATGAGGCAGACCAAAAGCCGTATAGGGCAAACAAAAAACCGTATGCGGCAAATCAAAAACCGTATGAGGCAGACCAAAAGCCGTATAGGGCAAACAAAAAACCGTATGCGGCAAATCAAAAACCGTATGAGGCAGACCAAAAGCCGTATAGGGCAAAAAAAAAACCGTATGCGGCAAACCAAAAACCGTATGAGGCAGACCAAAAGCCGTATAGGGCAAACAAAAAACCGTATGCGGCAAACCAAAAACCGTATGAGGCAGACCAAAAGCCGTATAGGGCAAACAAAAAACCGTATGCGGCAAATCAAAAACCGTATGAGGCAGACCAAAAGCCGTATAGGGCAAACAAAAAACCGTATGCGGCAAATCAAAAACCGTATGAGGCAGACCAAAAGCCGTATAGGGCAAAAAAAAAACCGTATGCGGCAAATCAAAAACCGTATGAGGCAGACCAAAAGCCGTATAGGGCAAACAAAAAACCGTATGCGGCAATTCAAAACCGTATGAGGCAGACCAAAAGCCGTATAGGGCAAACAAAAAACCGTATGCGGCAAATCAAAAACCGTATGAGGCAGACCAAAAGCCGTATAGGGCAAAAAAAAAACCGTATGCGGCAAATAAAAAACCGTATGAGGCAGACCAAAAGCCGTATAGGGCAAACAAAAAACCGTATGCGGCAAATAAAAAACCGTATGAGGCAGACCAAAAGCCGTATAGGGCAAACAAAAAACCGTATGCGGCAAATCAAAAACCGTATGAGGCAGACCAAAAGCCGTATAGGGCAAACAAAAAACCGTATGCGGCAAATAAAAAACCGTATGAGGCAGACCAAAAGCCGTATAGGGCAAACAAAAAACCGTATGCGGCAAATCAAAAACCGTATGAGGCAGACCAAAAGCCGTATAGGGCAAACAAAAACCGTATGCGGCAAACCAAAAACCGTATGAGGCAGACCAAAAGCCGTATAGGGCAAACAAAAAACCGTATGCGGCAAACCAAAAACCGTATGAGGCAGACCAAAAGCCGTATAGGGCAAACAAAAAACCGTATGCGGCAAACCAAAAACCGTATGAGGCAGACCAAAAGCCGTATCCCAAGTAATGTTCCAATTACAGCTAGAAAAAGACAAGTTTGTCCTTGAAAAAAAGTTTTGAGGCACCATTTTAAAAAAGGCGTTTCAAGAGGTGCTGATCAAAAGTAGATAGCTAAAAAAATTATTTTTTCTGGACCCAAAACTACCTAAGCCCAGTGGTAAAATGACCCAAAAATTAAATTGTTCACAGTTCCTCTAATAATTGCCTGACATGGCTGAAATTTTGTGGGGGTGTTAACCTATGGGTAGGCACCATTTAAGACAAAGAGGAGCGAAATCGCCGATGGTCTACTTCAAACGGCCCTGATATGCTCAAATCTTCAGTAAAAATAGTGAAATTGAGCAACTTTGAGAGCCCGTAGCATCCAAACCCGACGTCGTAGAGCCTCGTTCGACACGGCATTCGAAAGAGCGCATTTTTTTGAGTATCTGAGACCCATTTGGGTACTTTTTTGGATCTCGGTTTGCGAGAACCCATCTAGTCCCAAACCCTCGAAAACAGCTGTTTTTGGGGTGTTTAGACCCGTACCAAAGCCACAGGGGGTGTCGGATTTCGTCCAAGTGTCTTTTCGGCAGTTCGTATACATACAAGGAACCGATAAAACACCACAAGCGCCCGCTCCTAGGATGTCGCCGACCAAGTGGTTTTTTTTGTCTGGAGCTTCTCAAACTAAAAGGCCATGCCGCCGAGCACTTACTGTCACCCTTGGCAGGGGGCGGGGCGGGGCGCGACGTCGCTGCTGCTCTGCTGCAGAGCGGCGGCCGAAGCCCCTGCGAGCGGCGAGGTAGGCCAGCCCGCCGCGCTCGCGTGTGTTGCGGGCTGGCATTGGCCGTTCCGCGGCGCTCCAAGCCTCCAAGCCCACGGAACCACGGCGCAGCGTGATGCTGCGACTTGTCACCGGGGCTTCGTTTCAAGTTTGTTTTGTTTGGCTCGCGAAGACTCGTTTCTCTTCGATTTTATTTTTCAGGCGACCTCTCAGTCTCGCCTGCCTGGCCGAATGGAAGGTTTTCTCATAAGTAGGCAAACGGCGAGCGATTTTGTTCGAGGCTATTTATTTTTCTCAACCACCTTACGAACATACTACGATATGACTTTCACATACATAGTTAATTAACATTATAATAGTAAAATATACACATGTACAATATTCTCGAGGAGCATGCTCTCGAGTCTTAATGAATATCAGGCTTGATTGTAGTCAGAATCGAAGAAAAACGCCAACAAACGCCTACATCGTGTAGAAAACAACACTGTCCAGAGAAAGAAAATTGTAATGGAATGCACAAGGAGTATAACATGACGCCGCAGCAAGAGAACAAAATAACTTAGAAATAATGTAACAATTGAAATCAGGAACAAGTTACGCGCGGCTCCAATCGCACATCACCAGTATAATGTACACTCTACTCATAACAGTCATTGAATATACAGTTATCAACACAAATAACTAAGAAAAGTACAAAGTAACATCAATAGATCTTTAAGTTTAAAATTTGTTTTCAAACGTGATTTTTTACACTTGTGTTAGTTTATGTTTAAAAGAAAAATTCACAAAGTGCAAATGTGCAACACTAATAATTGTATAAGAATTAACAAGTGTGGCAGGATTTGATATCGTATCACAATGTTTGCAGTGCTGTTTTAAGTAGTCAACGTGCATATATAACGTTACAGCTAATGTGTGCTCTTAATATTAATATAAAAAAGATCTTTTATTAAAAAGATTTTGTGTTGGTGTGAATGTGTGTGTGTTTAGAGTGCAATGGATAGTTACTCTCAATATACATGTATAGGTGTTGGTGCAAAAGGGTTTGTTTCTAATAAGAATCCAAGGGAAACAAATGCAGTAAGTTACCGAGAAAAAAAATGAAGCGGCAATTTCAAACAATATTTTTGGCGTCGGCGAGTTACCACCTTAAATTAATGTTTTGTGCTGCTCCCAGAAAAGCAACCCTCAGCGGAAACTTCCCCAGTTGAGGTGGGAATATCCATTAACACTGTGTAGAGCAGAGGTACGGACCGATCAAAACAAAAAGAAATACATGTTTCTGAAATTGTAAATGAAAGAAAACAAGCGACATTAACTCCGAAGTATAATTTGTGAGACTCTAGCGAGGGAATACTAGGAACACTGAATGTTGCGAACGAGTTTTGCCACCAATTGATGTCATTCATTGCACATTGAACCACAGTTTCTTTTTAAATCCACACAGATCTCAAATAACATTACTGTCTATGAAAAATATTTCGACTTTGTCAACAACAATCTAGGCCTGATAAAGCTGAATTCTTCCTCGCAGTCTCGTTTTGTAATTTAGTAAACCTTGTTGGTTGCTTTAGGCCTTGTAGCGTGTAGTTAAGATTAACTAAGCCAAGATCGAGTTTGAAGTCACAAATAGAAAAAAAAGGAAAACATCTTTAGTTTTGGTCTCAGACGGTCCAAGCGACAAAAGTTTCAACAAATTTGTCACCTGGTGCGGCCACGAGTAGGGCATTTGGACGCGATGTCTATTCCTTCTTTCTTCAAATCGTTACACGACACTCATTACTCCTTAAAATATAGCCAAGCGGCCAAAGGAATATTTTATCCTCTATTCAGGTCCTTTTGAATATGAACAGGTTCTCTTGCACCAAGCAAAGCCTATCAGGATACGTTGAAGTTCGTGGGACTTCCCTCGTATACCACTTGCAAGCATCTTGTCCATGAAAGGTTTCCGAGACTCTGATCCTCTTTGTCCTTCAACACGAGACGGATATATTTGTGCGAGATCTCCTTTTCTCGCTCTTGTTTTGGCTAACAAATTGTGCTTTCTTTCCTCTTTGTCAATAAAGACACCCGGTGGCTCAGGATGGCACGAGTGTCATCTTCCGGGTGTCTTTCTTGAGAATCAAGCGACTGGTGCCTTACTTTATATTCGTGTCGTGGTTGAAGTCCAGCCTCCGGAGGAAAAGAACGACGGAAAAGCTTCATGTGACACTTAAACCAAAGCGACAAAAAGTACTCTCTCATAAATTTTGAAACCAGCTTTTCATAAACTGGTAGTTACATAAAAAATACTCTCCATGGTAAAGCCCATTTCCGCAGATTCAATCAAATTCTCCATAAATGTTTGAATTATCACTAACAGATAGTATGCGAAAAGAAAACTCTAGACTACAAAGACATATTTAAAATGTTAAATAATTTAATGACACTCATCAAACTCATCTAGGGAATCAGTTAGGGCACGCCGATTCCAATTATCTAGTTAAGCACACTTACTCTCTACAGCATGGCTACCAGCTTCTACGAATAACGATATAATTAACTAGTAATATAATATATTATGACATTAAATAATTGTAAATACGATATAGTAATTTAGCAACACGAGTTCTAACTTCATTGAATCTGCATCTTTGAACTGTACCACGCAATCTGTTTGTACTTTTCGCGCTGAACCGGATCCGAAATGATGAATACAAAGGGAGCACCATGTGCGAACCCCGAACGCAATGCCCAACGGCCTGATGGCAACACTTGCGAGGACACGAACACGGGGGACACGACACCAGAGCAACCGCGTGTCTCTGCGAGGATGCAGATTAAACAGGGCATTTATCGCGTAGACAGCTTACACAAACCTCCGCCTAGACCACAGCTAAAAAGTCTATTTTACTCAAAATAAAAGGGCAATGCATTTTTTACAGTTGTCTCAAAAATAAATTTTGTATCTCACAGAAAAATATATGTGAAGTATATGAGTGTTTCAAATCTACGTAGCTACTAAGTCTAAATTTCCCAGATTTTAAACGAGCGATTCAACCGCAGCTATGTTTGACTTTCTTTGTTGTAGCTCTTCCGACTCCGAGTTCAAAAATAGCAAGTTATGCAGTTAATGTCTTGGTAGACTCGCGGCATTGCAATATGGAACCAAAACAATGCGATGCTAATTTAAAGAAAGTCGCGCGCTCAAGGTATCTCTCTCCCTTCATATAGTGTTTTCTTTCGAGATACGTAGGCCGTATTATTACAACTTGCATTACAGAATATTAATTCAAAAAATTCACATTTCTCATTTATCACAAGAGCAAATTCAAAATCAACAAACGAGCTCGTGAAAAACACTCTAAGAACAGTGTAACAAAGCCAATAGTTCACTTACAAAAATTAAGCAACAGTGATAGCAAGAAAGTCTTGATATGATTAACAGTATTGCCATTGAATTTCCATCTTATGCAAAAAACAAGTACCACGTTTTTTTTTCACTAACTGTAAATCGCACAGGACGTTGCTTATTCCGTGAAAGCGCATACAATTTGCCTGTCTCGATTCGGAAACTGAAACGAAAATGAACAAATTTGAACCCATATAAAATTGTTGCACGTGAGAGAAAGTGACTGGAAATTAAAACGAAACGAGCTTACATCGCAAACCCCCAAATTGCTGACTTACATGAAATGTGTAACAATAGTGGTGCAATAGTGAGACCTACTCGTGGTCTAAAATCAACCTACCGAAGAACTTCCATTATATTATACTTATAGGAGCGACCACGGAGTTGCCGCTGGATAAGGCTCCAAGGGTCTTGGAGCTGCCTGAGACTATTTACAAGACGTTTCTTTCCTCTGTCAAGCAGCTCAGTCAAGTGCAGCCTGAGTGGTGCAAATATTAAAGAGTATAAGTATAGGCCAGACCTTCTAGGGCTGCAGCACCCCGCCTTGCGAGGCGTGTCGCACATTCCTGTCGTTGGATACTTGTTATGTCAACATCTTTTCTTTCCCGGACCGACTCTGAACCACGTGAGCCACTTTTCATTTTGTTGGGTTGCTGCTCCTGGACTCACGCGGCTCATGCTCGTCCTGTCGAAGGTTGCGCGCCCGTTCTCGACGTCGCCGCATTCCCACAAACGCCTTTTTACGTGAAAAGTTTCTAAAATAACTTGATGTCAGCTTAAACCGAGCGGAGTATACCGAGCGACTCAGGCCCGGCTCAGCTCCACCGCGCACGGGATTGCCTGCCCACCAGAGGCTGCTTCCCAGGACCCCTGTGACTGAATCGCACAGACGGAATCAAGACGCACTGTCGAACGCGGCGCTGATGCAGCGTTGAGCTACGACGGTACCACTGGCCTTCTTCCCACCCACATTCATCCTACCCACGCCGTCCTACGATTAAAAATAACAGCATATGGGACAACAAAGCAAGAAGAGAGAGATAGAGTGTAAGACATGAACCTATATTCCTACGTGTGCACATGTGTTCGAACTATACTAATCAGAAACACTATCAGGTACTGGATAAATATGCAGCCGCCCGAGCGTCAATTTGGCATTAACTCTTTGATGCACCGCTAGAGAGTGCCCCACTCCAACCGCCTCGTCTACCGATTCATGCCCAGCGCACCCAGTCCAGTGCCGTGACAAGAGAGTGACACGCTTTTCGTCGAGTGAGACAGGAGGGGAGAATACGCGTGTAAACAAACGGAAAAGTATTCACTCCTAAACCCAGGATCCAGATAGTTCCAGCTGGAGGCAGCGAGGCGGCGAGACGGCGAGGCGCCGGCCTCGCCAACAACGCACCACTCTCTTTCTTTCATTCTGTCTTTCTTCTTTTCCCGATCGGCGCTGCGATGGGTGACAAAACCCAACGAATTCACTTCACGATGCGGATCTCGGTGCTCGGAGCGACACGGCGCCGCGCAAACCAATGGGAAGCAACGGCAGCCAAGGGCAGCCAAGGGCAACCAAGGGCAACCAAGGGCAGCCAATGGCAACCAAGGGCAACCAAGAGCAACCAAGAGCAACCAAGGGCAACCAAGGGCAACCAAGGGCAACCAAGGCAACCAAGGGCAACCAATGGCAACCAAGGGCAGCCAAGGGCAACCAAGGGCAACCAATGGCAACCAAGGGCAACCAAGGGCAGCCAAGGGCAGCCAAGGGCAACCAAGGGCAACCAAGAGCAACCAAAGGGACCGATGAAAGCGGGAGTGTTGCAGGTTAAGGGAAGACTACAACTGAAGACTTGGCCGTCGCTCTGTGGCGCTGCCGCGCTGCGGCGGGCTCCCTGACACAGTCACGTCGCTTGGTCCACCGGTTGATTCAAGGCCTTCTTCTCCTCGCTCCTCTTCTTGTCTTCTTGTCTTCGTGTCAGGCAGCGCGCTCGGCGGCAGTCGCCTCTACAGGCAGCAGCAAAAGAGAGAAGGGGGTGGGGTGGAGCCCGTCGCGGCGCGTCGCGGCCTCTAGCGCCCTCTCGCCCAGCGGAGCAGGGCGTCGGCCAGCAGGTCTAGATGAGCCTTTGTCTGCAACAGAGAGAACGTGGGGGTTAGTGCAGTGCAACAGTGCATACTGCGACGACCTTGACAAGAGCTAAAGCTTTAGGTGGACCGTATCGAGAGTTGTAAGCGCTTGGCCAGACACAACACTTTAACATTCCACTTCCACTTTGTTCTGCCCACCGCCTCCAGACGCGGCCCCGCTGACTAGGCAGCGCCCCTCCGGACGCGCCTCCGGCCGGCAAAATTTGAAAAGACCGGGAGGGGAGGGGGGCTCTGTTCGGATTCGGGTCAATTAATTCGAATCAGTGGCCGTCAGCCAGCGGCAATGCCGCGACCCTCGGCGCGTTGGCCGGGGCGGGGCGGCCGGGGCGGGGCGGCCGGGGCGGGGCGGGTGCGGCGCGCGGCGGCCTTGAACACGGGCCAGTGGGTGGGGTCGCGCCTCCGTGCGCCTCCCCGTGCCGTGCGCCTGCTCGTGCGCCTCCCCGTGCGTCTCCCCGACCGTGCGTCTCCCCGACCGTGCGTCTCCCCGACCGCTGTGCCTCCCCGCGCGCCCCGACTCATGCCGTCTAAAGGTCATGGGAGACACTGCACTCGCATTAGTGGCGGTCGCCGGCCGGCTGTGATTCCCCTGCTCGTCATCGCCGTCATCACGGCCGTCATCACGGCCGCCAACGCGCCGCAAAAACGACTCGAGGGAGCGGGGCCAAACTGCCAAACGCCCTTCATCGCCAGCAGACTGATTCCAAGAGCCGTCGCTCTGTCTGCCTCGCACTCATGGGGTGGCCTCATAGGTGCGAGAGAGACAGAGCGACGAAAACGACTCTCGGAATCAGTCTGCTGGAAGGGGAACGTACTGGAAAACACGCACGCACCGCCAGAGGGGTGAAACCGCGGTGACACCGCGCAGTGAGCGTGTGTGAGACATCGCGTTTTCGGTTGGCCGGCTTGTTCGAGTGGCACAGGCCTAACTGCCGACTGATTGCTGGTCTCGTATCGCCTCTCGGCTCAGAGTCACCATGGTGTCACCCTCGATAGACGAGTGACCTAGAGCCATCACCACTTTTTAAGTTCTGAAGAAGAAAAAGCCTGTAAAGTCGTTTTCGTCGCTCTGTCTCTCTCACACCCATAAGGACGCCTTATGAGTGCGAGAGAGACAGAACAAGGAAATCGACTTTCAGTCCGCTGTGTGACTCACCGTCTTGTAGAACATGCAGGCCTGCCGGTCCTCGTCCTCCCCCGAGGGACAGTCGATGAAGCCGTCGCACAGCACGTGGTCGTCTATACACCGATACCGGCCCATGTGGTCGGGGGTCGGGCAGGCGAAGCGCTCCATGCCGTCGTCAGCGGGCGGACACTCTGCAACAGGACGCACAGTGTAAAGACTCTGGAGAACAGCGCGGCATACTGCGCGTCGTCGAATTGTGGTGTGGCCGTGGACACCCCGCGTCCATTGTTCGCCCACAAAACAGGACCTTGTGGCCCTCCCCATCCGCGAGGCTACGCCTGGGCTACGCCAGGCGCGGCGGTGTTTGGACGGCAACATTGTGGTCGTTCCAGGAAGCTTGGCCCTCGGCGCTGCGTAGCGCGTACCGCGTACCGCGCTACCGGCCGTTACAAGCCGTCTGGCGGCGTTGTTCGAGCCTCGCTCCTCGCCCAATGCCCCTCGCCTCCCCCTTTTACGGCGCGCTGTCCGCCAATATGACTTTGTTGCTTCCGCGGCCTTCGGGCGGACTTCGGGCGGCCTTCGGAAGGCCTTCCCGCCGGAAGTGACCTTGCCAGTTCCAGTGCAGCAGCAGCGCCTGACTCGGCCCGACTCGGCCCGACCGCTCTCTGGAGTGCCTCACTTTTCAAAGGAAACTTCAAAAACTTAAAGGTCTGACGTTTGATGAAGCAAAGGAAGAAAAAAGTAACCAAACTGTGCACAACAGAGCTACAACGGCGGCAAGACGTATTGGGAGCGACCGTCCGCTTTGAACGTCGGGCCACGCTTCTCGTCATGCCTGGCCACCCGAAAATCTCGCACGCACCTGATGTCACCCTCTTTGGCGGTCCGCCATGTTCAAACGACGGCCAAAGTGTCTTTCGGCGCTGGGGCGCTTCATAGTCGGGCGCGGGCCGGGCTTGCCCTGCTTGCCGGCCAAGGCTTAGGCGGCGGGCTTTCGGCGCGGGGCTTTCGGCGCGGCTTCCAGGGGCTTTGCGGAGGGCTCTGGCCGGGTTGATGAACGACATTCATTACAGCAACATGTTCGGACAATGCCGGCAACGCGTACACGCTCAAAAACACGCGGCCCGGAGCGCGGGGCTGGGCCGGGCCCGCCGCACAGTGGGCCAGAAGACCGGTCAGGCGGCCAAAGACGCATTTTGAGCTCTAGAGTTGCTAAATGGGATTCGATCCAAACGTGTGACCCCACCAATGGTTTGCTCTCGGAACAAGGAATCCATTGGTGGGGTCACACGTTCGGTTCGAGTCCTTTTAGCTACTCTGAAGCTAAAACCGCGTCTAGAGGTTTGCCCGCCTGCACCCGGTCTTCTGGCCCACTGTGGGCCGCACCCGCCGCCTGCCCCTCCGGTACTTCCGGTACTTCCGGCACGGCAGCCTAGAAGGGTCGGCCGGAAGCAGTCGGGGCCTGTCCCCGGGCCTGTCCCCGGGCCTGTCCCCGGGCCTGTCCCCGGGCCTGTCCCTGGCAGCCACTTAGCGGAGGAAACGTCGCCCAAACGAGCGTCCTGGGTCCTGGCGGTCCTGGTGGTCCTGGCGGCGCCCCGTCTGAGGCCGAGAGCGGACCCTGGCCTGCCTGGCCTGCCTGGCTGAGGCCCGGCGTGGCGCGCTCAATCAATTTCCGTGCCGTCTCGGCCAGGTTGGCACGGTGGGACGGCGGGGACGGCCTCGACACAGCCTCCAGCCTTGCCCTGCCCCGCCCCGCCCCGCGCGGATCAACACGGCCGCCATGGCACCCTGTAAGCCGCAGCCAGTTTGTTCATTAACCGGCCGCTGGGCTGGAGGGCCGCGACAGAGGCCCTGGGCAGAGGCTCGGCAGAGGCTCGGCAGAGGCTCCATCGGGGTGGGGTGCCCAGCCCACGGCCACAGGGCACCGGGGTCACGCGGGGGCCAGCGCGGCGCACTGCGACGATGGAAACTGCTTTGCCATTCTTTTGTAAGCCTCGCGCCGCTTGCGCCTACTGCAGCGGTGATGCGCCCCGCCCCGCCTGCATACACTGCATGACCTTTGACTCGACGACCCTCCGCTTGGCCCCGCCCCGCCCCACCCCGCTTTGGCTTCGCTGCCTTCCCGTGCCCTTTCCATTGTGAGGCAAAACGTTGCGGACGCCGCGTCCCAGACAATGCTGCATTGTCAAGGCCGGGCCCACGTCCAGTGCGTGCCAGACACGACGGCGGCCTCGACGGCGGCGCCGGGCAAGGCGGGGCCGCGGCCCGCGAAATGGTGCGCGCCAAACACGAAGACGGCGCCCCGACTGCAGACTCATTTCGAGAGCCGTCATCGTCGCTCGCACTAGGGGCGTCCCCTAGGTGCAAGAGGGACAGAGCGACCAAAATGGTTCTCGGAATAGTCTCCTGGCCGGAGGTTGCAGCCTCGGTGAGGGATTTGTGAAAAGCGCGTGGCGGGCACGGGGCACGGCGGCGCCAGGGGCCGCACACCGGGCCACACCGGGCCACACCGGGCCACACCGGGCCACACGTGTGCTGCAAACACCGGGCACGCTAAGGGCCGCGCCCTGGGCCGCCATGGGCCGCCCTGCGCACACACGCGCGGCGCATGACCGGGATACGGCGCCGGAGACCCTCTTCATCATCATCAGACAGCACGACCCAGCAGCAGCATCGCACGCGAATTCAATTAATTTTTGACGCGCCAGGCCGGGCAGGCTGGCTGGCTGGTCCTGCTCTCCTTGAATAGGAGCCCGGGGAGTGATTTCGCGCTACGGTCCCACCTCTCTCTCTCTCTCTCTCTCTCTCTCTCTCTCTCTCTCTCTCTCTCTCTCTCTCTCTCTCTCTCTCTCTCTCTCTCTCTCTCTCTCTCTCTCTCTCTCTCTCTCCCTCTTTGCGAGGGCAGACAGCCGTGTGTACCGCGCCACGGTGGCCCAGACACGCTCCGCTCCGCGCCAGTTTGTACCGCCGTCCTGTCTCTGCTTTCCAGCGCCAGTCGTGTGTTTTAGATCGACTTTAATCGAAGTGTCCATTAATCTCTGGCCATTAGCGGGTCGACATCAAAGTCCCGGGCCCTGTCCCGGGGAGGGGGGGGGGGAGACCCACTCTACCAAAGAGGGTGGGCGTGCGTCCAAGGACCCTGTCCGACCCTGTCCGGCACGCCGAGCGCGCCGAGCGTAGCCGAGCGGGCCCGGCCCGGGCAGGGTGGGAGCGGCCGGGGGAATCGCCAAACACGGCATGAAAGTCGATTTGCGCAGATCAAAGCCCAGCCCGGCCGAGATTGGAGGTGGCAACGCGACGGCGAGGCGTGCGAGGCGGGGCGGGGCGCCGCCGCCGAAGCGCCGCCAGGGTACTTCCTCAATGGCGTCTTAATGAGCGTTGTCTCGCTAAAAGCGCCCGAGTCACTCCATTATGTTACCATTACGGGACTCCGCTTTCGTCCGGCCGGTGCGGGCAAGGCCAGGGCCAGGGCCAGGGCCAGGACCGTGCAGCCAAGGCGGCCCGTTGGGTCGCCGGCCTCCCTATGCCCCGCATTGCCCTGACACGGGTCGGTCGGGTGGTTACAAGTCTCCCCGGGGCTTTCCTGGAGGCGTCGCGCTGCTGAAAGCGGTGAAAGCACTGAAAGCCGGCGGCGGACGGCGATGAAAGCGAGTTTGAAAGCCGTTGAAAGCGCGCGCTCTCCCCCGCCCGCCGAGTCCCGCCCGATGCATTACTCTGGCTAATCACGGCCAGGTGCCGCGGCCACCACCAGGGCGGGGCGGGGCGGCCCCACCGGATGTCGCCCCGAGCCCTGTTTCAGCAGGTTGGCCGCCGGAGGGGTCGGGGGAAGTCTCCCACTGTCTGCCACCAGCAGCACGGCGGCCGACGCCAGGCAAAGGCTAGGCCGCCCTGAGCGTATCGGAAGACGTGCGGCGAGGGTCGGGGAAGGGGGAGGGGGAGGGCGAGGTGACCCCCGGAGGCGACTTGCGTTGTCGTCAGCCTGGGGGGTGCCTGCCGGGCCCTACCTGTGTAGGTGCGACTTGACACGTCATTACTGACGTAGATTGAATGGGGTGCAGGAAAGCAGCCCCTCGCGGCAAGCAGCGCAAGCAGCAGGGGCCCCGGGGCGGAGTTGGTGACACGCCGCCAGGCCCGCCACGCCCTGCGTGTCTGCGGGGCCACCTTCCTCCTCCTGCCTGCCTCGGCCTGCTAATAACGTGCTGGGTCGCCTCGTCGTCGCCTCGTCTCACCCCGCCGTGAAAATGGACTTGTGTAGTTTGACGGGGCTTGTGGTCGCCCCGCGTCGCCCAGGCCGATCCGCCCAATATATCTGTGTGCTTCGCCACTCCCGCCTCCCCACTGCGTTGGAAGGGCCTAGGCTCGTCGCGTCTGCGGCGGCGTCGCTCCGATTGCGTCTGTGTGCGTGCGGTCGTTGTCCATGTCCGTCCGTGTGTGCGCGTGTTTGTGCTGAGGCGAGCAAAGGGGATCAATGCGTGCTTGTTGGCCAAAGATAGTTTAGTGTGTGGCCGCCTGGCCGCGAACTTTGGGGTGAACGAGCTGCCGGTTTTCCGTCCCCTACGCACCCGAAGCGTGGGCGTCGGGGGCCGCAGGGCACCGCAGGGCACCGCAGGGCGGGCCGAAGCGCGCGGCAAAAATAGAGTGGTGTAATGTTGGCGCTGCTCGGCACGGCACGGCACGGCAAGGCGAGTCGCTCCTCAGGACAGGAGGGGCCTTGCCGCTAAAGAGAAGGAGTAGCCGAGGCAATGGCCACCCCCAGTCCAGCCCCGCCCCCCGCCCCCCGCCCGCCCGGCGCCGCACCTTGACATGTTTAGGAGTTCACCATGAGCCTGACCTCTTGCAGCACTGCGCCCTCTCTCCCACCCCCGGCTACCCTTCACCGCCGCCCCGAAATGGATCAGTCGACACGCCGCGACACAGGGCAAACTTTCTTTCGCCAGGCCGAACCCAAGGCAGCGCGTGGCGCGTGTGGTATCTTCTTGACCCTCTCCGGTTCCCATGGCGACGTCTAGCCTCGTTCACAGATTGCAGGAATTCCCCCGAAAATATACGAATGTTGGCTTTACGGCTCGACCTCCCTCTCCGTCGGCGAGGTCGGCCCGGGTCGGCCTGCCGCTGGAGCAGGAGGCGTCGGCAAACGCGCGGCCGACGCACCTGTGGCCCACGCCACCCAGGCCGCCCTGGCCCTGGCCAC